GTCACTCTGCCGGCGGCGTCTCCCCGTCGGCTCTCTGACGCGCCACGTCCTTTTTCTTTAGGCCAGTTAGTTGGCAGGTGTGGCCCATTCACGTTTCCGACTGACGTTCGAAATGGCTGACTTCACCGCCTCGCCCTGCGTCTCCACGACTGGCCCCTCCAGTGTGACTGAGGTACCTGGTCCCTCTGTTTTCTGACTCATTCTCCCTCTTTATGGGTTTGGAATCCATATGCCAGTTCAGTCCTTTGGGTGGTTTTCCCTAAAGGTTAACGGTGATGCTTAACGCCCAAACATCCGGGCTCCGGGACACTCCACTTTGAGGCCTGCAGAACCTTCTTTTGGGGACCACTCAGTAATGTATTTAAAAAGATTCAACTCACATTTCGCCAGATTTTTGTGACCCTGTGGTGAGACTTGGTAGCAGTTCTTGTTGCTACTGTAACAAACCACCATAAACGGAGGGACTGAAAACAACACAAATTTATTATCGCCCAGTCCGGTCGTACGTCAGAGGTCGGAAGGGGTCCCACTGGATGAAAATCGAGGTGTGGGCAGGCTGGCCCCCTGTGGAGGCTCTGGGCAAGTTCTCGCGGCTGCCCCGTCCTTGGCGCACGGCCACTTCTCCACCTTCAGACAGGGCAGCACGGTGCCTTGCGATCTCTCTCGGCCCCTCCGCTGGGGACCCATGTGACGGCCCAGGACTCTCTCCCCGTGTCAGGACCCTTCCCTGGGTCACATCTGCGCAGCCCCTTTGGTCATGTCAGCCACAACTCACAGGTCCCGGGGATCAGGAGGTGGACGCCTTTGGGGGCTGCTCTTCTGCGGACCGCCGTGGACGTGCTACGGTCCCCACTGCGGGGGGTGGGGGGGCAGGCCCTCTGCACAGACGGTGTGCAGACAGCGGGCGTCTCACACTACACGCGAACACCAGCTTCAGAGGGACGGGAGATAAAAACGGGAAAGACAAACACTGATGTGTCTGGAAGACTCAGAGGAGAAAGGCTTCATAACCCTGAAGTAAGGAAGGAGTCACAAAAAGACCCCAAACACCAGCGACTGAGAAAAGCAGGTAACCCAGCAGGAAACCTGACAAACGACTGGAACAGGTTCTTGGGAGGAGGCCTTCAGGAGGGTGCTGGGGGGGCTCCCTTCCCTGGGGACCTGCGCTCGGAGCACCGTCCACAGGAGTGGCCACACACGGAGAGGCTTCTGGCAGGTGTGGCCTATGTTTTCCAGCCTTTATTTTCAACCCATTAGTACCCTGCAAATGGGTTTCTTTAAAGAACCGTATTTTGGGTCTTGCATTTTCATCCACGCAGGACCTTTACCTTTTAAGTGGGGTTTTTACACCCTTACAGAGAACGTGACTGGGCTGAAATCTACCATCTTGCTGTTCGTTTTCTATTTGTCCTATCTGGTCTTCGTTCCATTTTTTCTGCCTCCGTTGGGCCGTGTGTTTTTTACGATTCCATTCGTCGGCGTATTAGCTGTGAGTCTGTTTGTTTCTAGTGGGAGCGTCTGTTCACATCTCTAATTCCTCACCGTCTGCCTTCAAGCACCATCGCACCGCGTGGTGGAGGCTGGAACACGCCGGCTGCCCCTCCGTCTCCTCCCGCGCCTCTGATCACCGCTGTCACACTCTCCACTCACACGTTAGCGAAAAAAATGAGCTGGCATCTTAAGACGATTAACCACAGAGCTGGGAGGACTATGGGTGGAGCTGGGCCCCTTGTTAACTCTCTAGTCCTAACTCCCTGTTAAACGTTGTGGTGACTTCCGGGGGCGGGAAGCAAACAAATGGAGAAGCCTCCTTGGAATCGGGGTTCTGGCTCGTGGGCGGCCAGCTGGGACACGCTCCTTGGCGGCTTTCTTTTTCTTTTCCCGAATAAACCACTCTTTTGGTGGATTACCTGGAGAATTATTTTATCCAGTCGACATTAGAAAACCCCACAAGACATTGCTATATTTTGCTCTAAACTATCAAAATCTTCTTTTAAGGAGATTTTAAAAACAAGAAACAAGTTGTAAATATTACCGCCCGCTTCCCGCTTCTGGTCTGCGTTTCTCTGTGCATGTTTCCATCTATTTTTTTCCAGCCTGAAGAATATTCTTTAGCATTTTTTGCAGCCCTCCTGGTGAAGAATCCTGTCCGCTTTTCTGTATCTGAGAAAGTCTTTATTTCACCTTTGCTTTTGGAAGTTATTTTAAAAAATATCTAGAGTGACAGGGTTTTCCTTTAATAATTTGAAGATGTTCACTGTGTGCTTGGCTCAGCCTGCTGTCACTCCTGAATTAAGTGTTTTCCCTTCGCTTTTAACATAATCCGTCACATGTGGACCCACCATAAGTCATCGACTCGTCCTAACCCGTCCACTTGTGGCGTTCCTGGTACAGTTTTCCTTTTGTCTTCTGTGTTGGGGGTTCACTGAGCCTCTTGGGTCTGTGGGGTTACCATTTACATCAGGTCCAGGGGACACTGGCCACCATGACTTCAGATATGACCCCCCAGGACGGTTCCATGTGAGGAGCTCTTTTAACGGCCCGGCTGCCGCGTCTGCCGCTGTGTCGTTTCTGGGTCTGTCTCTTCACTGGGCTGTTGTTTCCCGCTGGTTTGCATGCCTCGAAATTTTTCGCTGAGTGTCCGGCACATTCACGTTTACCTTATTGGGTGCTGGACGTTTTTTTGTCTGTACACCTTCCTGAGCGTGGTTTTGGGATGCAGCTAAGTTACCTGGAAATACTTTGATGCTTTGCGGCTTGTTTTAAGCTCCGTTGGGTTAGGGGGCAAGGCAGGGCAGGTGTCCATTAGCGCAGAGGCAGGCAGGCCCCTCTGGTGGCCGCGCCTGAGACCTGTGAGTGATGAGTCTTCACTCTGGCGGGCGGACAGCTGAGCCGTTTGCAGGCCTGAATGAGCTCCTGTCCTGGCCTTGGGGAGCTTGCTCGCACCCCTGCTGACCTCTCCCCCCAGGGTGGGCCCTGAGAACTTTCGTCTCGGCTGCCTTGGGCCCCAGGCGCCCGGCGCCACCTCCTCAGCCGGAAGAGTGAGGCTCCACCGGGCCCCACCCTGGGGCTGCCTCACCTCTGGTCCCCTCCTTCGGGTCGCCATCCCCCTGCCTGGTCACCAGTATCTGAAAACCGTTGTTTGATATATTTTGTCTGGTTTTTCCCTTGTTTCAGTTGGAAGGGCCAATTCGGTCTTTGTTATTTCATCCTGGATGGAAACAAAAGCCTGATCTACTTATTTCTATTTAATCTGATATTTATTTGGAGCGCAGCAGACATGCAG